AGGATAGCACTAGCTTTGTACCCTTTGACAGGGCCTTCACACCTCTAAACCTTTCCTTAGGTGTGAAATAAAGGTAAGCATAACAACACCTATCTTCATATGTAAAAATCCAAATTAGGAGCTATACATGCAGTGGGAGTTGGCTCAAAATATATCAGTAGGATTGAGTGGATACTAAGGATCCACCTTATTTTTCCCTAAGTCAGGGTGTATAAAACTGGAGTGTCCAAGTCACTGCCCTTAATTAGCTTATTTTCTCAGATTGCTAATGACTGAAAGGAAAATATGAGATAACACAAATCCACTATTGTTCTGTTTGCTTAGACACTCTTTTTAGTGTTTTATGGATTTCATCTAATCCTCCCTTTTTAATCTAGCCTTCTATTTATTTTATACCTTTGTCTTTTTACAATGTGTGCTTCTAAAGTCTGCAGTAATGCAAATTTATCCCTCCAAGCTTTCTCCCAAAGGGTAACATTCCTATTTAAAAGGGTATTTACAGGAGGGTGAAAAACAAAACTGCCTGGCCCATATGGTTCTTCTCTCTCTTCCTGGCCCCTTCTTCCTCAAGTGGTGTCTTCTCTGCTATTCTCAGACATGGGACATTCCAAAGTGGTAAATGTATTAAAGGCACATTCCCTTCAGACTAATATTCCTTTGAGACAGGAAAAACAGGTGGGGGGTGGGGAGTCACACAGGCTACACAAAACCCTGGAATAGAACCCTGACCATTAAGTCTTAACATGCAAAGTGAAGTGGCAAATAGGGTGGCAAATAGGAAGTAATCATTCTGTTAATTCAGGCTAAAAACCCACTTTCACTGTAACACCCAACTAATGAGGCAAAAGTGCTTTCTTGGCCTGAATCATATATTTCAATGTGAACATAAAAACAACTAAACCTTTATTGCCAATAGAATAACTGGGAGAGAAAAGAGAAAAGCAATGTATGATGTTTTAGTCATCTACGCAGGACACCAAAATATATAGATAAGAAAGAATAAAAAGGCATTGCCTTAAACACAGATAACGAACAGATCATTATAGGAAAACCTTTAGACAAAAATCAAATTTACAAAGAAAAAAATATAGCATATATACCTACAGAAAATCATTTAGCTTGAAATTATATGTAAATTAAATAAAACTCACCATCCATCCTCATTACACTAGCAAAAAGTATTAGAACTATGAAGTTCAATATTGTTAGATTGTGTGGAAATATACTCAAACATTGCATTTGGCATTTTAAATTGGTACAGAGTTTTTGGAGATCAATTTGGCAAGGCACAAGTCACTAAAAACGATGATACTCGATGATACAGCACTTTGGGGAAGACATTCCAATGGAATAACAAAAATAAAAACACGACCACTTAAAAGGGGAAAAATGTTGTACTTCTGCTATATTTTTCAGATGAAAAATGACAAATCCCTCAAAGATATGAGTTTAGAACGTTATTGCACTCAGGACAAAACACAGGAGGACCATGTAGATACATAAAAAGGACACTTAAAGTAATAAAGAATGCAGATTGCAACTTAGGAGAGGCCCATGAAGCTAATCAGTATCTGGTAATAGTGAATTTTGCTATTTATATTTAAGCTGGTCTTGATTTTGGTGCCTGTTTTTTTGGTACATGATACTGGAATATGTAGACATTTGGGGATGGGTGGTAAATTAGGCTAATTTCTCAACCTCAGATTTCTACCACGTTTAAGGAAAGTTGGTCTTCATAGCCTGAGTCATTACCATCATTTCAGTAACTCAGACAAAAACTGCCGAGTGATGTGAGGAGCCTAATAATGCAAGGCAACTGACTCCTCTTCATGAATTGGAACCTACAGCAAGTGGGAAGCTCCTGGCAGCAAGTAGCAATGTCTTCTCTGCCACTGCTTTAGGGCCATCCACTTTTACTGCTCGGCCCTACGTGGGAAGGATGAGCAGTGGAAGGTTCCATCATCTCAGAAAACATTTCCTTGATTTTACTTACACCTTTTCTAGGAATGAGACAAATGGTTCTAAACACTCCAGAAAGATGGTGAGAAAGCCCCCCACCGAGGAAACAGAAGGAAGAACCTCGTCTGGGGGGCCTTTTGGAAAGCTAACTTTGGGCTTTTCTACTTTGCCATTAGGGTGAGAGCAGATCATGGGCTGGGTTTCTTGCTGTTTTCAAGCCTCAAATGTGAGACTTAGTGGTAGGCACATGGAGTCACTGGACAGCCAAGTGACAAGCAAGAATAGCTGCAGGTATCCTGGCCCCTTACTTCAACAGCCCTACAATACACACTGTTCTAGTTTCTCATAATCAAGAAAATGGATTCTTGGGCTCCTACAGTGCTTTCTCCTTTAGATCCATATTTATATTCTCCACCCTTGTTGAAAAACTTCAGATACAAGTCTACAAATAACAGGCTTAGGAATCAACTCAGCTACAGGAGCTATAGAAAACAAGATCAATAAAGCCAATACCATGTGATTTAGTGGCCACACCATCCAGGAAGAGAAAGAAAAAAGAAGAAAAAGGCTTGACACTTTAACAAGTGAATTTCTTTCATTTTACTTGGCATCTAAAGGTAAAGCACCTTAATTACCTGAATCTTTACAGTAAGTTTAAATTTATATTTTATAAGCTATTCTGAAATCTGCCCTGTTTAATAATCTGTAACGTCAAGAAAACATTTTAAAGTGTCTCTCACAATTAAACCCATCCACAACCTTGTATAAATCAAAATTTTGCTACCATATCAAAATGTTACACTGGGGCTGTATAACATTGCCCACATCCTCATTACATGCAACACTAATTACTACCAGCAGATTCAGAATTTTCTGCACATTAGAGGCTTTTAGAGGAGCTATAAAAAATTTCAGGCACCATTAATTTAAATTTGTATTGAAATTTCCTTTTGACAGATGGCCAAAAATTACTTATTATTTAGAGTACCAGAGCTGCCTGTTTGCACATTAGAAGAGGAAAGGGAAAAATTAAAAGCAAGAAGGAAATTTATGTCACGTTCATTACCTGTTAAATGTTAGGGAGCATTATCTTGCATGAATAAATTATTTCATACAAGCCTGACTCCAGCTGCAGGCAACTGGCACGCTATGACTGATAAAAACCATCCAGAGTCACACAGCAGACAATCATAAAAAGCCCCTCTTAACCAGGAACCACTTACGAGAGGACGATCGATGGAACAAGCAACTATTTCTCTGAGTATCACAGAACACATTTAGAAAAATTAGCAAACTATTTCACCGTGCAAAGCTATAGGACAGCCCCAGACCTGCCACAAAGCAACTTCAAATCTGAGAATGGTACCCAACAAAAACATCTAATTATAGCCTACCAATCCATAATAAATCAAGGCAAAATCATCTGCCTCTAATTCTTCTTTGTTTTTCCCCTGGCTTCTGGCTATACAGATACTCACTTCCAGTTCACCCTGAATAGTTATAGATGATTTCAAAATATACCCTACTCTTGGGTGAGGGAATAAAAAAAATGTAATTGACACAAAAGTGTGCACTGAGGTATAAATAGTCACAATCTTCTGGGAGTAGGGCATGAGAGGAGCCTTTTGTTTAGTTCATGGGGCTGCCTAAAGGTATGTATTCATAATATGGAGGCAGGGAATGTTTATCTTATGACCTCAGAATACCTAGACAGGCTTTCCTAGAGCTGCTATCAGTTAATGTTGGTCACTGCATTTACTACTTCCTAAGTACACATTGTGAAATACTTACTATACTCTGATCAAGAATGCTTTCTAATCTAGGTATTGATATGCGTATTATATAACATACAAAATTCTAAGTGCATAATTAAATAATTCAATGTGTGCAGTTCCAATTGTAAATGTTGACATTTATGTGGAAGTGCAAATGCCCTTTCAAATTACAAAGATTCTTTAAAGGTAAAATAGATGTATTCAATTTTTCTTTTCCATATTTATGGGCATTGGGGAAAAAAATCCCAATTCTCTTTTATTGTATTATGAAAGGACAAGGAGTAAAAAGACATTCAAAGTTATAGCACAGGTGGTTTCAGGGGAAGATTGTAGTCTTCATATATACATAGCTTCATTAAAAACTGCAAGAAAAGTAACTACCTACGATCTGAAACATTCAATTGTTGTAAAATACAATAATAAGAGAACTGACAGCACCTGTACTTTGGCCAATGCTTGAGAACTGTCCTTTCCTTCTAATCAATAAGTAATACAATGGTATATGTATTATGATTATGAATAACACAATAGCATATTTACATTGTGCCTGGCTCAAAAGTGATCACAGTAATTTTCATATTTTATTCATTCTCTGCCATGGCAGCCAGTTTTTCTTGTTTGCTTACTAACTAAACTCAGGTATCCTTAGCATATTCCACCCTGGTGTTACAAAAATATATCCAAATTATTAGGCCCTCAATACTTTTCCTCCTTCCCTACAACTTGTCTATAAAGATACACAGAGGGCAGATAAGACAGACAGATGTAAAGCCTAAAGAGAATTAACTTGCTATACTGGAAACTAAGATGTTAATTAAAAAAAAAAATTCTTTCTGGTGAAGAAATATGCACTTAAATGTTTATGATAGAGTTTTGTAGGATGGAACTGTTTCCTCAAATATGAAATTAATGCATTTCCTTATAAACCAATTTATTTACTTAATTTCATTATTATCTTACAGGCAAAGCCTAAGTGAAGAAAAGCAGTTATTCTTTTCCACATGGTAATAAGACATAATAATTGAGCAATGGAAGCCAGATCTTATAATGCCACCTTGCTCTACAAATCTGATTCTGATACAGAAATGGGACCATATTTCCCAAAATCTCAACCAAAAGATCTAAAAGTAATAAAAAAAATGCAGTTAACCACTATTTATTAAAGCCCACAAAATCATTCTCTAAATCTCAAAGACTCCATTACTTGATTTATTCAAATCATTTATATAACCCTTTTAATCCATTTCTGTTCATTTTGATTCCTACCTTGATGGAGTCTCTGTCTATAGGCAAAACAGCAGCGACATAAGCAGATTAAAGTGGTGGGAAGAAGAAAAAAAGAAAAGTACCAGTTAGTTTACACAAAATTATATATTTATCAAACTTAATCTCTGCTAAATAATAAATTGCACAGATGTTACCTTTGCTATAAAGTTAATTATTAATACAACTCTATCAGATTCACAAAAGCACCAGTCTATCTTTGACACAATTTCAGAAGAATCAAAGCTGGACATTCATAATTTTTATGCTCCTTACAGACTTTTCCCACTTATAAAAGTGTTTATAATCATACATTAACTCTGTACCACTGCATTAAGATAAATGGATGACAAATACTACAGTCTTTCTCTAATTTCCCATTACAGATGGGAAATTTATGCTTATGTGATAAAAATCATTGACCCAAGATTATAATTCATAGTAATGACACTGAAACAGGAATAGATATGAGCTTTTAATTATGAGCCACACCCTCAAACCAATGAACCATCCATGTGCTAAGTAAATTCCCACAAAGGAATGAGTGCTGGGAGAAATGTCTTCATTTGCTTTTCTGTTATTAACTAATAAAAATGATTAGTAAGCACCATACAAACATACAGTCATTTCAGAATGTCTCTGCACTATCATCTACCTTAGTAGGGGAAGAAAACCAACCTAGAAAAAGCACAACTGGCCTTTAAATCAATTAACTGCATAAACAATTGTATTGGTCTTATAGGAAGAAATTAGTTAATTTCATGCTTCTAAACATACTGGGTGAAAGAAGTAGTTAAACCAATAGATTTCATTAATTTGGTCTGTACCTTCTCAATTACTAAGACTATTGAAATTGCTTTTTTACCTGTGAGATTTTTAGTGCCTTGTATAGGCTCATCTGATTTATAAATAATAATAGAGTTGGCCACATATCAAGTGAGCCTTTATCAGTAAATCTTTCTCTAAAATAAATTCAGTCAAAATTAGCTATTCATGCAACACACTATTTCAAATACAGAGCACTATGGGATTTTGTTACTGATTTAGACTTGGGGAACACAGGAGGGAACAAAGAATCAAAGGCAATACCCAGGAAATAGGCCCCCTTGCCTCTGGAGAGTGCATTAACTCTTGCCAACCACTATGGTATCATTTGGCAAATGATTGCTTCCAATAATTAATTTACCTTCCAGTGGAAATCCTTTGTTTAGTCACTGGTAAAATTAAATTCAGAGACAATAAACAATGGCATCCAAGACCAACCATCAGCAAGCAGGCAGACAATCTCAGATTGACATCCCAAGAGGATCACTCACCTCTTTGATGATCATTGTCATGGTGCTTCTTCTCATCTTTAATTGGAAGGTGGGACTGACCTCCCAGGGCACTGGAGAGGGCCAGAAGCCCGGCACTACTACCAATGGGTGGAATGGCAGGGGGCTGAAGCCCCGAAGGGTGTGGAGTCAGAGGCACCGGCAGACCATGTCCATGTGATAAATGCTGGGCCTGGAGTTGTTGCTGCTGTGAAAAATTAGACACAGATATTGAATTTGTCCCCTATATGTATACCCCATGCCTCCCACCAAAAGAAGCTCAAATAGATAATAAAAAAATCCAGCATCCATAAAGAAAAATATATCCTTAACATATATGTTTTTAAAGAAGGGTAGGGAGGAAAGGAGAAATACTGTCAATAAATGCTACCTTTCTTACTTAGATTTGGGGGCTTTGCAATATGCACTACAACTTAATTTTTAAATAATGAAATTATCTAAGTAATTTAGTTGAAATTCAGATTTCTTTAACAAAGCCACAAAAAAGCTTTTTTTATCTCAAAAATAAAATAAGGCCTCGCTATCATACATTTCTAATCAAAACATATATGTGAATAACTGTTAAAGCAGTTATGTTGAACAAAAAAAGCTGAAAATTGAGAAAATTAGTGTTAAACAGTTCTCCCAGAACCGCTGCACAGCATGCAGTGGGAGTTAATTTGAAAGAGAAAACCTGAATTAACAACCCAGAAAAGGAAACTGGTTGCAGCCACCGTTTTAAGCCCTTTAAGTGTCCTCAGCGGTACTTGAGCAAATTACTAAAGAAAATCTAATGTAGCAAGGCTTGGGTCCTCCTGTAGGCTTGCTCAATAATGCTGAAATAATTGGGCACTCTGTGCACGTTTAGTGATGCTTGAATGAAAAGCTAGAGGCCTGCCCTTGTACTCTTCTCTAGCGGCCGACTCTGTGTTGTGACAGGTTTATTTGAGTGGGACTGTGATGCATGCACCAGTAACTGCACTGACAAGAGTTTAAAGTCATTTTTACCAGTACACTGGCAACACATAGAGAAAGCCCTCAAGAGGCTGGAATGGGAGTGCTTGACCTCAGCCGAGGCTGCATCAAGCTCTGCTACAGGAACCGCTGCGGGCAGGCCTTGTTGTCTCTTCAGAGTGGGAAGAGGGGAGAAGGTGGCGATGGGAGGATGGGAAGTCAGATTATTCCTCAACAGGAATCCCTTCAACTCAAACCCTGCTTACAAACAGTCCACGAAAACAAGTACGGAGTAATTCCCAGACTAACTTTTGTAGTGACTGAATTTTAGTTGCCGCCTTTAAATCAATCACTTTTCAGGCCTAACCTAGGACCAAGTAGTCCCTTTCATAATTTTCTTTCCAAGCAGGATTTCACAATACAGCTTAAAAAAAAAAAGAAAACGAAATGAAATAAAAAAGAAATTATTCTAGTAAGAAGGATCCTAAAATGAGTTTTTAAATACTTCAAAGAAAAAGAGTGAACTTTTTTCTCCTCTCCAAATTACATTTTTCTTCCTCTTCTACATGTCTTATTGTGTTTGATTGTAAAAGTCAAAGTATAGTATTAATATAATTATAGCTATTTTCTCCTATTTCCTGGCTACATGTAGTTAAAATATAGTCGATAAAGTACAAACACTGTGAAAGAAGTTTACATACGTAAAATGGAAAATGGGTGTAGTATCCAGATATTTCACCAACCAGGCCCTACCCTCCCAGTTCTATCAAAACTTTTCCTAACTGGGTAGTTTTTAAGTAAGGTTGTTTTTCAGTTAAGTGGCCAAAATCATGTTCATAATTCTTTACATACTGTGAATTAGTTGTGATCAAAAAATATGAGCACACAATTATTTTTTCTAAATATATTATAGAAAATGTCTATGAATAAGACAAAACAGGGACTTTAGGTAAATATAAGGCAAATTCATTTCAAAATCTTGTTCAACTAAACAGAAAACTGTTCCGATTCTCTTTCTCCTCTAAATTCCCCTAATATTTCACATGAACAGTTTGCACACATAGCCATTTCCTACCTCAGGTAAGAGTTCAATGGGTAAGCAATTCTTAAGAACCTGCATAAATGTCTCTCATCTTCTTTCCTTGACTCTTAGCTCTGTGAGTCTACATTTGATAAATCCTAGCTAACCGTAGGCACTGAAACATTCACACATCATCTTGATAAATTAAAAAATATATCTATTTCATTAGACATTAAAAAATCCTCAGCCAAAAATCAGTATCTTCAATGATCCAAGTGTTTCACTTTTATTCTTTTTCTCTTACAAAATAAAAAATAAGCACTAACTGCTTTACTTTTCCATTAGACAAGGAACTTTTCAAAGGCAGAAAATATATTTATTCCTCGTCTGTCTGTTGCACATAATGTTTGTAAGTAAACACTTCCTGGGATCCTCATTTGCTTCTATTTTATCTCAAAACAGCTATAAAAGGACCTTATCTCCTCCTCCTCCTTAAGCCCATCTCAGAAGAAGGGTCCTTTTCCTTCTGAAGGCCAACTCCTCCCACCTGCATAGGCATCATCTTTTCTTTCATTCTTTGTTTCATTGCTCCTTCAATTCTCCAACCTCTCCCTCTTCTTCAGTTGTTGTCTGTCATTGATTTTGTTGTTCTGAGCTTAACACCAGAGTCTCTTAACATTTTGTTTAAGATGAATTGCCCATCTAAAGTCAAAAGAACTTGAAGCAGTACCTTTTTGGGGGTATAAAAATCCCACTATATTTTAATCACTTTGTGTGTCCTCCACTGCCCCCACATAGTGCCTTACACATATCAGCACTTGATAAATGCCTGTTAAATTTAATTAAAATAAATTTCTTTTGCCCTCTTTTCTACTACCTTGTTTATATATATCCCTGTATTTGCACAGCCAATCTTCTCTATAACTAGGGTGTATCTGCTGCTTCCACTTTCAACAACACCCACCTCTAAGCACACACCTACACACATGCACACTCTTAATACAAACTCACTCACTCATTCTCTCACTCCTTACACTCTGCCATCTGGACTCCAGGCCACCATTCTCTTAAAACTGAGGACCATTCAGACAAGACTGACTCAAGATTTCAGTTACCTTTTTATCTAACATAGCTGCAGCCACAGACAACATGTCCTCCTTGTTAAAACTCTCTTCTACCTGCTCCAACAACTCTAAAATGATCACTATGGCCATCTTCTATTTAGCTCTCTGAATGTTCCACTTATATTTTTTCTTGGCTTTTTCTCCTTTTGCTCCTCTGCTCCTCTCTAGCCTTACCTACCTTTAAGCAAATGACTCCCACATCTGTCTCCCAAGCTTCTGTACCCCTGCTCTAACTTCCTGCCAGACAATTCTACTTGGCAGTCAGCAGTACCTGGAAACAAAAATGTCAGCACAAAACACATAAGCAACTTCTACTGGCTCCAGTTATTGGTCACCATCAATTTTTCTTCTATGCTCCTACATCCATAATCACTGAGTCCTGTTAATTCTCAAATAATTCCTTATGTTTCTACTGCCAACCTACTAGTCAGACTCTTATCACCCCATATACTAATTACTCTAAGTCTCGATTAGCTCATTTCGGTTCCAGCAAACCCATGCTTCTTAACCACTGGCAATTTTTCTAAATTCATGTCATTCTGTGCCTTTTAGAACAACCTCCTTCCTCACTGCTCATCTAAGTTGTACTCATCCATTTTCACCTGTTCTCTAAATGCTTTTTCAAACATCCCAAGTGTCTACTATCTTATACAACTATTATTGGTTGGCCTATGTTGTTTCATAAAGGTATTGTTATTCAACTTTTTACAAATAAGAAGATCCTGACTTACCTGAAATTGTGAGACTCTGGAGAGAAGACACCGGCCTCAGAACCCTTTGTACCCTTGGCACCTAGCTCAGTTCCCCACACAGTACTGAGGAGATTCAATTAAAAATTCTGATACTAATGACAATAAAAAGCCTCTTTTGACAATTAGGCCTTGGTTCCAAAAACAACAGACCCTTTTTATCTATAAGTTCAAATTTCTTATCAAGATCTTCCATAAACTAACATCAGCCTCACTTTGCACCCTACTGTATAACACCACCCAGGGAACTCTTTGCCCGTAACACCGTTTATTTAGTAAGGCATCTAAACACCTAGAGCTCAGCTTTACTAATAATCAACATGCATACACAGAGTCTTCTCTCATTTGTCTCTACATGTTTAAATTCTACTCATCCTTTTGTGCTAAACTCCTGCCTACCTTCTGTGTGAAGACATCCCTAATGACCCTGGCTCAAAGTAATCTCCACCACTGCCTCTTAAATTCCGACAGCACTTGAGTCCAATACCATTTATATGACACTTAACAATCCAAGCCAATAAAAGACTTTTTTCCATACACACACATACATACACACACACACTATATTATGCCATAATCCTCTAATTAGAGCTCTTTCTTTTAAATTTCCCACAATGCCTAGATATTTTTTGCATTTAGTAGCTATTCAAACTATTATCAGCACCAATTTTATAAACTGATGAATTTTGGCTCTATTTTCTTTCAGATGATATTTCAATCTTCAGAATTTAAAATGAAACCAGAAGAAATAAAAACATAACCTGCTTATACTATAATCCTTCATTTGGATACTTTAAATAAGCAGCAATAATCTAAAATAAGGATTGATATCCTAGTGATCAAACAGAGCTTGGTACCCCCATATAAAAAGCACACATTTATTTTTATTGTTCATCTTTTAACTTTTTAATTTCTAATATTATGATTTATAAATGGGCTTAAATATAACTACCACTAAACTTTTTCTAAACTAATGAACTCAAACTCTCATCATGTGTCCATATGGATATATTTTAAAGCTTTTGGTGAGGTAAGTTTCTACTACATTTAAAGAGAGTTCCCATATATTCGTTACCTGTCTTCCACTAATGTTAACATTTTACATAACCACAGAATTTATCAAAATCAAAAAATAACATCAGTATATTACTATCAACCAAACTAGAGACTTTATTCAGATTTCTCTAGTTTTCCACTAACGCCATCTTTCTGTTCCAGAATTCAAACCAGGATACCACACTGCATTTAGAGAGGTTTTAATTTTTCATTTGGTATATCAAAATTATCAACTCCTCTCAAAAATCTTATGATTGGCAATAACCAAACTGTAAGCACATTATTTAATAGAATATGCCTT